AATCAATGATGAAACCAACATTTTCTATACTCTTGAATAATTGATTTTTTATACTTCTCGCATCTAAAAATGCCAGCTTGAAATTGTTGCCAAACCCAGAATTCCTGACCTGGCCAGATATGAAGTGCCTTCGAAGGTTTTTTCTACGTTTACTTAGCGGTATACAGATACAGAGCAGCTAAGTGAGGTGAGCTCGTACAATACCGAAAGCAAAATTTTAGGGCTCAAGTTTCATGGTTGAGTAATCTTTGGCATGGGTAGGATCGAGATCGTTCGCGAGATTCTCAGATGTCCGGGTATCAGACGATTGTGCAAGTGCACAACAATGGCACTAGATCCCTGCAAGGGAGCGACTTTAACTCAGTTTTATTATTGGGCTCCGCGGGGGGAGGGGGCGCTGTTAGTGGTCGTGACTCTCTCATTTCGCGCCGCGTGTTCATGCTCGCCACCACCGTCTCGTCCTCTGGTGCTCGGTAGTCTCTAAGTGCACTTAGTGCACAAATTTGAGCTACAGGCACTCATGATGTTTGTGAGCCGTACTTGTTTCCTTTTTTCTTAATGTGTCGGGCCGCAATTCTATTCACATGTCGTGCATACGCTAGCGGACCTCAAAATCTGGAGATGGGAATGGTTTATTTTAAAGGAGGAATTCACGATTAGAATGAAGGTCGAAGAAAGGGAAACTGACCTAGTTGAGGGACCCACGGACCTCCTGAGGGTGCGAACTGACGCGCAATTCGCATGGAAAAATTTGACCTCGGCGACCTATCATGCCTCAAAGCTGGCGGGTCCGGCGATCTCCGCCCACCGATCATCTGATCACTCGCCGTAGTTCAATACGTGGGCGGAGCAGCGGGTCGGATGGTAGGCGAGGTGAATATATGCGGAATCAGAGGAAACCGTCGGACCAATAGCTCTATCATCGCGAGGAGTCAGTGGCGAGAGGAACATGCGCGCGGAGGCACAGACGGCCCGCGGAATGAGTGAGTGGTGTAATGTAAACCGAGCAGAGACGAGTCGTCTCTCGAATCGGCATCCGAGAAATCCTTCGACCGTCCGCTGTGAGGAATCTCAAGCGTTCGACCCTGGGGGGGGCGCGGCAGGGTGATTAGAAGTATGCTGACAGAGCGTGAGTGGTTGAGTAATGGGCACGGAGCACAGGGAGGGAGTCGCAGGTCTGCATGAGATCAACGGGCAAGGCGAGAGACCATTTGCTCGGGTTGTGGGCAACTTCACCCATCCCTTAGTGGCTTATGTGAAATGGTGGCTTTTTCATGTGATGTGGCTCTTCAGCTGTGGACTTGATTACAGATAGATACCGAAGGCAGTCAATGGGCATCAAGACGGCAAGGTCGTAATAGCGAGTTTTCTAAAGACATTGTGTCCGCATACTCTAGTCCACGATGTAATGCACATTTTCTGGTCAACTTTAAGACAATTCGAATAGCGATTGATTCCGAAAACAGATGCGCGTCGAGTGCGGACCACGCACCACAGAGGTGACGACTACCTCCAAGTAAGTCTGGTTAATTGTGGTGTCAGTGATAGCAGCTGATAGTTGATAAACGAGAATTGTATCTAGTGACAACTGATAGAATACCACTGCAAACTGTAGACAGAAAACATTTATATTTTGGAGGCCGTCGTCACTTGTGGTGTGTGGTCTGCACTCGACGTACATCTGGTTTTGGAAACAGAGAGTGTATGAGTTTTACAGAAAGAAAAGCTCTTTCAACGAACAGAAATTGACGGTTTTTCGAAGTGAACTAAACTTTATTATTGCTGTGCAAATAACCGGGCGCAAATAGCTAATAACATGAATCACAGCTTAATCAATTGAAAATATCACAACTTGCCACCAGCCCAAAGCTCGAATTTCAGCTTCGGAATGTGAAAACCAGAACGCGATTGCTGCTCTGCTGAAATCTACACAAACATGTTGAAGCGGAGTGAATGACGACAGGTTTTGAGTAAAGGAGAAATGCGAATCGAATGGGTGAAAATGCCATAAGAATGACAGCATGATGTACAACGACGATTTTTATGTACAAAATAACGTGAACAAGTGAACGTTCTTTTCGTGCCCAAGGCATCAATACCAATCAATAAACGTACGGTCACAAAATAGGTTGCGTGTTGTTGAATGGAATTGTAAAGAAAGTGAATTGTAAAAAATAAGCGCACTGCACGGTACTGTTCAAATGGTGGTCCAGTTGAAAACGCGTGTTTTAAGAAACATGAGAATCCCAAAAAGTACCCATTGAATTCCGAAATGCGTAGAAGGGAGGCCTACTGAGTAGGCAGCGGCCAAGCCGTCGTCTGTTACTGCGGAGTAGTCATCCAGATGGTTTTCTTCTGTTCATGTTCGATTAGGGTCACAATCTGAAAGCACAGAAAGACATGAGGCTGGTCCTACCGCGAATCCGCAGAATGCGTACCTGTTGACACACGTGCTTCACAACTCCTCTTGCTGGACCTTGTGAAGAGACCATCAACACTGAAGCCGAGCAATTCATTGCCTCCAGTTCCTTTTCTACTGCTGACGCCTGGAACGTATCATGTATCGACATCTGATGACTACAGTACACTGTTACACGTTGTAATCCGCATCGCCCCCTACCCCCTCCCCCCCCGAAAAAAGTAGTACATGCAGGAAGAGAATGATTTTGTCAACTACCACGGGGCACAAGAATGGCCTAATATTTTCCATAAATACACACTACAAGTGACGAAGTCCAAGGAAAAAGCGGTTTTTTCGTTTCTTTTCATAGCCGAATCGGTCACTTGCTGCTAACTCTTATAATTGACCCTACCTTGAGTTTTCCTTTTTTTTTCTGGTTTGTTTCAAAACTTTTTGCGATTGATTCGAGGGAATTACCATTCTTGGACAATACGACTAAACTTTAGTTGAAGGCTTTTTTGAAAATCAGCTGAGATTACCTTGTCGATGAGATCTTTGGCCTGCTTTGTGGTGATCTTCTCTCCACAGAAAGTCCTCCTTCACATCTTTTATCTGCTTGGCAGACTTGAATTTTATGCGAATCACAATTGGGTAGATACGAAGAGAATGAAGCCGTTGAATACGCCTCGCGTGACAGGTCCACGATGCAATGAACCCTGAAAGTATCGCTTGAATGTCTCAGGAGCGCAGTAATTTTTGGCAATTCACTCTTACCCCATTTCGCCAAAATGTTGAATCGCAGGTGCAGTAATGACGTCGTAGAGTGTCTCCCTTCTTCTTGCCTCAATCAACTCACAGCTGGCCAGCAGACGATCCACTTCCATGGACTGCAGAGCACGGCATTCCGGTACACAATGCGAGAATCTGAATTAAACTTGATTGTGAAACTTCAAAGATATTGTTCACGGCTAGTAACCCAGACGACCTCAAGTCCTGCATCTACTCAATTCCCCGATGCTCCGCCGAAACACGAACATCTCATGGCACAGAAACAAAATGCGAAGGTTGCCAAAAAAACGAGAGACTGCTTTTTATTTCCATAAGATTTTGGGGTAAAAATGAACACTGACAGCATGCATTGCACCTTTCACACTCTACAAAAAAGTTACAATCGAAAGCAGTTGAATGGAAACAGTTTCTCGCAGGCATCCCATAGTCATAAGGAAACCCAAAATGATCGTCAATTGTGTCGCAAGTACAAACACTGGCAGATTTGTTTGAGCGGTACACTAGGAAAAAAAGTAAATAAGTAAAGTACTCCGCCATTCGAGTCACGAAAAAATTGCAATTCAACGGACTGGTTTTGAATTGTGGTCTGCTGGTTTTTGGCCGCTAGCGCCAGGCAAAGCTTCACATTATGGCGGGGTTATGAACCAAACTTGCGCTCACCAGGCTGGAACTCGCACCTGCTCGCTGCATATGCGAGGAAGGCGATAAGATATCGTAAATACGAAGTAAAGTTGATGTTTGGCGAAGCGGTACCTGGTGCGTAACTTAAGCATATTGCTCGGGTATGACGAGGGGTGCGAGGTTTGATTCCCACCTGGCAAAAATGTATGTTCCTTCCCAGCCATTCGTTGCGAAATCATTAAAGGGTCAGCCGCAGCAAGCCCCAGCCGGGTTGGTACCAGAAGCTCCCCTGGAAGCAGCCTACTATTCTCGACAATGAGGAATGCGTCATTGACCAATAGAGACGCACAGTTTTGGAACGTACATTATTCTCGGCAGGACTTGCTGCACCGAGCCCAGAGGATTTTGCGAGCCACCTCTTGTTGCCCAGTGGTTCAAAAAATTAGCTGTTTTGAAAACAATTGGTCGAGCTCACGCCCCATTCCTACAGAATTTGAGCGACTTCCGACAAGAATTCGCGGTCACACTCTAAACAATTTTTTTCATGCTGTGCGACCGGCCACACGGAAAGAGGTATTTTATGTATAAAAATGGGTCTGAACGACGGATCTCGAAGGAGGCGTGGGAGACGTTTAGGCGTATATCAACGGAATATAAGAAATTCCCGGTAGGAAGTTGCCTCAGTTGGAATGTCTAACAGAATCTGCCACTACAACTTGCTCGAGTCATCGAGGAAGGTCTGAATAATAGGAGTGAGAAGTGGCCCAAAAAGTACAATTGGTCGTCGTTTCGACGACGAAACCCGCTCCACACGTTCGTAGATAGGTCGTGTCAGAGTCATGCGATTCTGTAGAGAGGGAAAGATATTGTTTGTACATCAGCTGTGATAAAAGATTGAAGTTACCTTTGATTTTTTGCCCCGTACATCACTCCGTTCCATATGGGTAGCCGACGGAATGATTCCGTTCTCACGCTGTCGACCCTCACGATCCACTTTCCAAGCCCGGCCATTTTCCCCGCTGTCCCATGAACATTGTGTTGTCGACGAACACTATTTCACCCTTAAAACGAAGTGATATTAGGCTAGAAAATTCAGGGAACGGTATGAAATTTACCATTTTAATGTCGAGTTCGTCCTTGTTCTCACTGTTCCGATCAACGTTGATCCTCACATAGAAGGGAGTCACCATCAGTCTCCTAGTCGAAGTCGATTAAGTCGGATCACGCCTACGCAAAAGTTGATCTGACGTCGACATAAAACTGTACTTATTGTAACTCAGCTGAAACAAATCAGGTCAGCTCCTCTAGTCGGACCTAAAGGCACGAGTCGGGATTGAATTGATGCGTTATTTTAATTGAAAAATAGGCAAGGAGCGCAATGGGAAACATAGAGTTCATGAGAAAAAGCAAAAAGGACCATAGACAAACATAATTTTCCCTTGATGAGCCTGCGTGGCTATGACGGAAGACACAGCGCTGTTCAGCGGAGGATAAAGTCGAAATAGTACACCTATACGCGAGAGAGCGCCGAGGACGCGAATCAGCGTGGATTTGATAAGGAGGCGAGCACGAGCAGCACATAAGGCAGGGCCTTAAGGCCTTTTGAGTCGCGACAGTGTCGTGCCCCCTTCCACTTGAATACCCATTTTTCTTACGCTGGAAGGGATGGCTTTTGGGAAACCCCTCTCTGTCACTCTAATAGGGTCTGGCTCTTGAGACCTAAACCCGACTCGTGGCTTTAAGTACTCGCTATTAAGCTCACAGGTTTGGGGGGGTCTAATTTTGCATGTTCCTGATGAGTTCTCCGTTTTTTCGCCACTGGGGTACTTCCGGGTACCCCCTCGTTCCCTCTTATCCACTCCAGAACCAAATCACAATCGCTATGTTCAAGGTCGTCAAGGGCTTTTTGCTTGCTTGGTGCTGAACCGTGGGTCAAAGGCGATCGTTAAGTGATTTCCGACTAACCGTCTTCCACATGTAGCTCAGCCATCTCGGAGAGGCTCTCTAGCAGAGCCTCGGTCGCCTCCTCCAACGTTGCTCCACGCACATTATAGCCGTCGATTTCAAGAATAAGGTCTCCCTCCTGAAAATTGTGAAAACATGAGGGTTATGGCAATAAGGAGAGTTAGAAACAATTGCATTACAAGGTCCACCTGTAGTTCTCCGGCTGCTGCTTCCGACAGTATACCCATCGCATTTCCTCCACACAATCGCACAGACTTTCGTGGTACAGTAACCCATCGGGGATTAGACGAGCCACTCACCAGCAGTGTGACCTTCGAAAAGAGTTGTATTGATCAAACTGAAAAGTCGATTGGGGGAGACTTGTGAGAGACATACGCCGGTGCTTCCTAGACCGCACACTGAACCCTTGTGGGAGGTAGGGAAAATTGACCGCGGAAATTCCGCTCACCTCATCTTGGCTGACACAAAATTGTGTCAAAACCTTACTGGCTGCATCTTTATCAGCGGATCGCATATTTATTCCACCAACCTGAACAGTTAGCAGTACATTATAGTTATGATCGTGAAGATTCACGTTTTCTTAAGAATCAGGAGCGGTCTCAGCGCGCCCTTCCTCAGTTCCACTTAGGGTTAGAGGGCTTTCACTATCGTAAAAGCAATGAAAACCCACGTCAAGCAGTCGATCTCCTCTCCGAACAAGACCGTTCGCCCTTCCGGGCACGTTGGAAATCACCACTCCACCATTTGCGTTCTCCAAACCGAGTCCGAATTCATTGCCTTCCTTGCTAAGGCACACTCTGCGGACCTTGTCAGATGTTTCGGAGAGCAGAGTCCCAGATGGAGCTGAAGTCAGGTCCTTATTAAGGCACTAATGAAGAACATATAAGTATATTGATACTCACAATTATTTGCCTGGTTGTGGTAGGAGATATGAACAGAACTGGTGCTCGGATGAGGAATCGAGTTCGTTGACGATAGCAGCGACGAAATTGACTCCTCCCGCGGGCCCGGGTACGGTGGTGGTTGAGGCAGCGCCGGACTGAAAGGAATAGGTTAACCTCGAGGTTCTGGTCCAAACTTTCGGTGAGCTGAATCTTAGGAAGAAGGAGTTCAGAGACCCCACGGGTTCTTTTTTAGAGCACATCCATTGGAGAATATCAAGTTAAATAACCAAACGCAGAAAACCCAAAGACATGGTTGGCGCCGCTTAACCACTGCCTGCTCCAATAGTGCAGTATTGAAACATCACAAGACATACTACTGAGCCTCGCGCTACTCCTCAAGCGCCGCCGTAAAACTAGAACGTTTTCGAAGAATGTCATCAGCCACCGCCAGTGCGAAATTAGAGCGAAAGTTACAACCGCGCGGTTCACTCCCACCAACACCCTGCCTAAATGCTTGATCCCTGCATGTTTCTGCGACAATCATAATGGTTTACCTGGTAGCGTCGACACTATCATCGGTGAAGAATCGGTCGTGGACAGTGCATTTGATCATTCTGTTTTCGGGAAGTCGCCCATCCGATGTGTACGAGTCTCGGGTGGAACGAGGGGACCATGCCGACGACGGCGATGAACAACCACATCTTGTCGACGATACCTCAGATGGCTGTCGAACCAGCCTGGAAGAGAATGCATGATATATTGAAAAAAACAAGGAACCTTTTAGGGGCCAAGGTAAAAAAAAACTGCCACTCTCCATTAGTTCTCCTGCTGGCGAAGTCCAGTGTCAAAAAGAAAAGTCTCAGCAAACTCGTTACCTGGAGTTCCCATGGTGGTTCTGAGGAGCGAAAACGGGAAACACTGAAGGTCGATGGAGGCGTCGACGGGGAGGTGCGGCGGCGGCGTGCTCCTCCAGCAGTTGGATCGACTTCGGCCAGGTGCTACCCGTTGCTTCACAAATTACAGAGGATCGCCTGAAGAGACGCCCATATAAAGAATTGGAATTGCTCATGAGAAAAAATTAACTAAACAAGCTGTTATCTTGTTGAGAAAAATGGTCTACGCTCGCCAATCTTCGCCAGTGTTCTGCCTTCCCCTGTGGGGCCCTCTGAAGAAATAGATTTTTTCATACGGTTATTGCAAAAAAAAAAATGTGAAGCTGGGCTTATACCTCAGCTACCAGTAAACGGACAGCAATCTGGTGAGACGTGTTGCTGGGAGGGGATTCGCAGCGATCCTTGACGGAGAAAGGCCGGCTCTCCCGATGTGTTCCCAATATTCGCCTTGGCCACCACTCTCGGTTTGTCAACGGACTGTCTGCCAAAGATCTGTAATGGATCGCAATAAGTACGCTTACTGAAACAATTTCCAAAGTGAAGTTCAAATAAGCGGTAAAAGGTATCAGGTCGCGTCCGTCGAGCTTGAAAGATGTAGGGTAATTTTGGGGTATTCGCTGTAGGAAACGGGAATCACGAAGCAAACAGTAAGTAGCTCTATGACGTGCCATTATTGTGGCCGTCTTCTTTGTTTTTTCACAGAGAGAAGCAACAAGGCGTACAAGCTAGACTGTTCGGACTGGTGAATTATGAGTGCGCTCAAGATCGTTCGTACTGATTCAAGAGCCCTTTTTTTTGCGCGCCTGCTTTCGCTCTAACTGGCAACACTATGTCAATAAGAAGAGTTTCCATGAAGGCACCCAGCAAAATGCGGTAGTGAGATTCAGAGTGATACGTGGATAAAAAATACTCGTCGAAATGGGCTAGAACCCGAAGAAACAGCGCTCTCTCCCTTAACCCTTGATTCCCGCACTGCGACTCTTGTCGCTGCTGCCCTCTTCAGTGGTAACGCTCTCTCTCTAACACGGCTAGAGTGAGACGGCGAGAGAGGTGGGCGGACGGCGGCGCGGGCGCGCCTGGTATAGCTTGCTGGCCACCTGGGTTATGCTCTTTCGCTGACAGACGCGCATTCACCAGGTATGTACACTTCATTGTCTCCATACTCGTCAACCAATCTATAACGATCAACGTACGAGCCTGTATCAATCAGTTCAATCGCCTGCCTAGCAGACCGGCCGCTGCCGAAAGCTCTGAGTAAGCCTTTTCGAGCGCTAGACGCTATCCGCGCAATAAATACACTGAAAGGACAACAGCGCTCGAGAAGATGCTATATCCATCTTCACACACTCATTCACTCATTCTCTACATAACTTTTACGGGCCGTTGCAGGGGTCATCCGGCGTCGACGTCGAAACAATGGAGTCAACTACGGCCGCTTCAGCTTATAACGGTCGTGCCTCGCTTCGCAAACTAACTAGCTTGACTTGGAAACGACCAACCTTGAGAAAACAGTGTCACTTTCTGTTTGGACGGTTGATCTTTCGCATAAGGGTCAGGACGTTTTTTACCGTCCAGAAGGCCCACAACGACTTGTCCACTGCCACCTGAAATCATTCTTCATTTCCGAAGAATCAGAGTTCTCTCAAGAAAATATTTAAACTAACATCTTATCAGTTGCTCCGCTCGCTTAGCGACTCATACACTGCCACATTATGACAAACAATTCGATGGCCGGGCTCGACACCCACACGACTCGCCAGACCGCCCGGATTGACCGCATTCACGAATACGCCGTTACCCAGCTCGATACCAATATCTGAAAGAATATTCTGGAACAATGGAAGATCACGAGAACCGTGTGACTTACCCGTGATTGGAGGTGAATGTGACCTCATGAATGCTCGAGGCGTTAGCACGTCGTCGAATCAGCATCTTCAGGTGATGACTGTTCTTGAGAATGTCTATGACACTGCGTTGATCCATGTCCATCACGTCGATGTCGTTCACCATCAAGATGTGGTCAAGGCGTCTGAAATGACACCATCAAGATTGTGCTGATGATTGGGGTTTGAACTCAGGAGGATAGACAAACCCGCTAGACGGGTGCATCAAAGAAGTCTCCTATAATGCGGAATTCAATCATGTTTGTGAAGTAGTGACATTAATAGATAAATTAGCAACATTGGTAATGATGGCACATGACTTTTGGATCGGCGAACTAGATGGGCGGGACACGCCTATAAATGGGCGGGGCTTGGCCAGGGTAGTAGGACCCTGGGATTAGCCAAATAAGGAAGGTCGCTTCTGAGAAGGAGCAGAACGGATCACGTTTGCTGTAATTTTGTCCAAATACAGTTTTTCTTTCCAGGTCCCATACTGCAAAAAACACTTTCAAGCATTTCACCCAGCCATTTGAGCTGGATCCTCTTGAGTTCAACAAGCAATATCGTTTGCTTTCGCCGCGCGACATCGAGACTATCCACATGTCGCGCGCGACAAAAATGTGTGACATTTGGTCACAGTGAAAAGCCACATAATTTTACGCGCCGAGCTCTCCGAGACTATTCCTCACAGGCGCGATGGCTGAACAAGAAATGCTGGAGCAAGCCTCCAGCAGAGTAACAAAAAACTGCCTGACTTACTTGAGCATGTTTTCCAAGGGTGAGCCGATAAGGACGTCTTTGACATAAATGGGAGCGGGAATCGAGCATCGGTCGTCTGTTCTGCCCCCACTGAGCACTATTCCCAAATTTGGCTTTGGATACGGCTGGAAAAAGAATTGTTATTGGATTTCGAGCTAACAAGGTTCTAATCGTGCAAATCTTTGGAGGGCTTAACTCACAAGGGCCACTTCAATGGTATGCGTGTTCCAAAGGTCGGTGATCGGCTCTTTTTCACACTCCAATTCTCTCAGGCGATGCAGAGTCTCGTTTCTCTCTACATCAGCCGCTCGCGCTTCTCGCACCGCCGCGTCACGTTCTTCGGCCAGCCTTGCGCATTCAACTCTTAACCGTTCCAGCTTTTCCAACGCCTCTGTACGTTTCTCTTTTGCGGAAGCGGTTTCTTCCATGTTCACTGAAACACATGAATATCTAAATCATTAAATCTAATCTAAATCTTTAATCATTAAGATTACAAACATAGAATCCTCGAAAACTCACAGTGCAAAAGCAGCCTTGTATGTTCGAGCCGATTGGAGATGTTTTGGAAATCGTCTTCGTTTTGCTAAAATATGAAAATCGGTTGTGAGAACTCCGTTGAGTGGTTTTTAACCCATTCGTGACAATGTCAGCCACCGGTGGCTGACAAAGCTCTCACTCGGGACAATGGCATTACTGTGGCTGCAGGGCTTGAAATGGAATTTGGAAAGTTTTCTTCCATGGAAAGAATCTTCATACCCTCGCTCATCTACGCCAGCCCTGGGCAGAGGAAATCTCCCTCCACTCGAATTTTATTGAAGAAAAATCTCCTGACGCTGCTGCTATTGCGCAATCCTGCGCGGTCGCGAATGGGTTTAAAGGAAGGTGCCGGTGTTGGGTAATGCGGTGTGATACCATGACCTAGCATATTATTGCTACTACTTTATGTACGGACTTGCAGCGGACTTTCGAAACCAGATTCAGCGAGCGGCTTGTGACTTGACCTTCATGGAAACTGGGCGCTATTCGCATATGCGGGTGCATCCTTCACGGATAAGCCTAATTAGGGCAGGAACTGTGGGAAAATGAAAATGGCTTACGCACGTTAGAGTCTGTTCGCTCCAGTTGAAGGCTCTGTGCCGTTTCCAACAAAAAGATATGTTTTACGCGTTTTCAAATGCATCATAAGACCCCCGCATATTGCGATAGCGCTGAAATTGGCATTGCCTTGTTCGCCAGGGAAAGGTAAATCCTTTACTTAATGGGTTGCTTTTCGAGGAATGTACAATTCAGATTCCATTCTACGATCTCTGTGACACCAATTTTAATCAGCGTTTAGGTGCTACCGGTTGAACAGCCACCACCTGTAGAACAATGGAGATGCCTTCATTTTTCCAATATCTGCGCATTGTAAGCCATTTCGAAGGTTTACTGGAAATGGTCCTCAAAACATGCCATGTGGCGAATATACGTTGCATATGTGACAAATTTTGCGCCCTGAATGGGTAGGTAAACCGAAGCACAATTTCGCCGAAGAATATGCTTACTGTAACTCTTCCAAGCCCTCACCTACACGAGTCAGAAGCGCTGTCGCCACTTGCATGATCTTAGGTTCGGATCCAGGGTAAAGTGTTCGTTTGAAATATTCAAGGAGGGTGATAGTTGTTTTGGAAGGGTATCGTATTTAGGGTTGAACGTAACCATCTCTTGGAAAGGTGCAAACGAGTCATGGAAGCTGAGGGGGTTCTGATTGTGGGAGAGGGAAGGGGCCGTCTTAACACCACTTGATGATTCTGGCGAAACTTCACGAGGGAAGTGTACGGTAGACAAAACTTGAAAATTTGTCGATTCTCAAAGGGGAAAGGTGGGTGGGGTCGGAGCGGGACGGTTCTTCTTATTGTTAGAAATAAATACTTACAGAACCACTAAAGGTGGTGAGAGGTGGTGATGAAGGGTCGTACTGAAATCCCCCTAGAAGGGAGTGGTTGTGAAAGTAGAAAAAAGCCCGCCGCAACGGTTGACCCTAATTGGATCCCGACCATACACGCCGTGATTAGATCCCCTCCGTTCATCGATGTCCTTGTATATGCAAATTACGCATCCCATTGTTTGAGTATTATTAATAGCACCGAATGCAAGGCTTAATCCATAACAGTCAAGAAAGGCTAATCATTGGTTTGATAACAGGGCTGAAAAGCATTGACTGACCGCTCTTCCTCGTAGCTCATTTAGAGTTCGCGAAAGGGCGTGAACAGTCTGTTTGAGTCGATCGCGTTCCTCTCCCATTCTGGTGTTCTCCTCCAGCACGCTACTCCGTTCAGCCATCGTTTCCTCGTAGTCTCTCTGCACACTCTCCAACTGAGTTTTCATGCGATTACGCGATTCTTCCACCTCGAGGCGATAGGCGACAGCCCTGAAATGCCATCGTTAGCAAGATGGGATGGCGCACGGTATGAGGTGAATATCCAGGGAAGTTTACCTGTTCAAATCGGCTCTCAGTGAATCCACCTGCTCTTCGAGTTGTTGCAGTTTTTGCAGTAGTGAATCGCGCTCCTGCATCGTGTTCCGGGTGCGTTCCATCCATCTTTCCTCGATCGAATGCAGCTCGCGATCCATTTCATCCTTAAGCATCTTTATTTATTTATTTATTTTCGTTTATTCGTATAACTTCGTATAATGTATGCTATACGAAGTTATTACGCTAATGAAGACAATTGCGTTATCAATCAGACTTTTTGATCAAATCGAGTAGTAATTTTACAGCTAAATAAAAGCTTACCAGAAGCCCTATAATTCTTCAATTTGTTTTATCACTTTTATAAAAAGTCATATTACCACATTCGGGCTTGGAATGGCAGAATTGAACTGTGCAAGTAGATCCGCTACAACATACATGACTTGGGGATCGAATCTGGACCAAGATCCTATGTCCATCCGCTTTCAGTCTCTCAAAGCTGTGAAAGCAAGCGAAGGCAAAAATAATGCGTGTCGGAAATTAAGTCGATCTCCGTCTGTACGGGAACCCAACATATGAACAATACGTGACCTTGAGTGACGGTTGTGATAAATCTTAGAGCAGTCCCTCGTGGTGTGGTAGTTCTAGGACCTTAAAAAAGGCATCAGTCGGGATTTATCGGATGTGATTTGTTCGAGAAAATCAGGTCAAGATGTGAAATGAAGGACAGTGTGGGGAGGAAGAGAAAAAGTACTGCGGGAACACCGCAAAAATTCTCCTGTAGACAGCCCGTGGTCTGAAGAGTGGACACGGAGCGCTGCAAAGGAGAGGGAACACCGCAAGAGAGCACATCGTACGCGAGAGCGCAAACACCGACTGTATTCCGCAATTGAAAAGATGGCAGCAACGCAGCACGCAGAGGTGGGTCTCAGCTCCGTACCGCGCACGTGTTGAGTCACACACATTGTTACGGCCTCTGGAGACCTCTCCTTCCCTTGAAGAGAGGGAACTGGCTCTTGACAGACCGTTCATATACCTCGACTCGTGGTGCCAAAACACAGTAGTCGGAACCTAGACACTAATTTGAAAGCGCACTCAGGCATTGCAATGACGGCTGCAACCGCTGCCATTTTTACTCCTCATCCGTAGCATACTTGGTGTCTATGCCCTCTAGTACAACGTGCTCCCTCGCGTATTGCCTCTGCTTTCCGCGGTGTCTCTTTTTCTTCGCTATCGCCTGTCGATTTCTCAAAATGAGGCTACATTTTAGTGGTGCCTTCCTACTACTTGCTTTTCTCTCCAGTAATGGTTCCCTTCATAAAATCTGTTTCAATCTCAAGCTGTACAGTATGAATTAGATGGCGATCTGAGACTGCCACGATAAACTTCTGCACACGAAGTGTATGGAAAGGATATGTCCACTTTAAACTCCATTTCTTGATAGTGAAGAAATAAAATGCTACTTGATAACGTCTTTTGAAAAGAAAACTGTTAACAATGGGAATAAATATACACCTTAATTAGGCATTTCGCCGATTTCGTACACTCATGTAAGATACAAATGAAATAGCCAAGTTGTACACTGAACGGCAGATCGCTCTCTGCTGAGGCAAAAGCAAGGCCCAGTGGAAACGAGAAGTCCTGCTAATGAAGTGGTCGCACCCTTGTCAGCCTAAGAAGTTAAATTAAATAGGTGTTCTATGTCAAACATCCATGAATGCTCTTGGTCCCCTCATTCGATGCCATTGATCGAACCCCACAGGTCGGATGCTGCAAACCAGCACCGCTCGCCATTTATCACCCTAATGCATTTTTGATCGATTTGTTCTACAGTACTAGAGATTAAATTTGACGACGCAATCATCTCTCTGACATGTGAGCTACCGTATTCGGCTGACCGTGAAAGGGCATCGAGCTCTGCCTTTAATGCTCCTATCGCCTTTTGTGAATAAAACGTTTGAGTCACCAGAAGAATTCGGAAGTATCTCAACCCTACAATTGTGGTGGTCAGGTGGCTAATAGTAGGTCGCGCTCGGGATAGTACGACCACTCCCGCCCCAGAACACTTGGGTGGGACCAAAACAGTTCACAGACGTAGCTGGAAACACTTGGGTCCCAGTCAACAACTCACCTCCGTCTCGAAGCTTTGCTATCCCTATTTACCTTTCACCTTACCTGGGAGAGGAGTAGAAGTTATTCAACTGTGAAAATCCTAAAATAACCAGCCCGAAAATTCTCTACGCCCCAACTCAATTCTGCTCTGCTCCTAATCCTTGCAAAAATACATTCCCATGTCGATCAAATACGCCCTATTCTTCCAGGATTCCAATGAGGGAATCGTGATGATTCATTCTGGTGGCTACTGCTGTGGAGTCTTGGAATGCCGATGTTTGAGGAAGGGTTCGAAGTTCGAAAGCGAGCTGATAGTAAGTAACCTATGTGCAGGAGGTTTCGCTTTTCCTGTCTTTTTGACTAGTAAATTTACCAAGTAAAAGGTCCAAAGTAGTAGTCATCAATCTACTTCTTGGGATGCGCCTCGCATCCTGTTACACTTACATTCAGATTCTTACTGACGTTTGAATACGACACTATGCAATAAATCCAAACTCACAACTTAGGGTAATGGTCCTCACAAATAAGTTTGCTACCAATTAGGAGGGGAGGTTTCTTGGACTTTGGCGATGCTCTTTATGGGGTTTTAACCCCGCACCGAATTCGTGGAAGGCGGAGGCCACGCGCGCCACCCAACCATTAACGCCGACATTATACCTCCAAAGGTGATGAAAAGCAAATTGTCAAGTACTTTTGAGTTCTCCCTTATTTTAACATCTTAATAAAAATGTTTAAAAAAATTACTTTCAAGATTACATGGTTTGAAAGCACAGCACAAGCAAAGTTGGGAGAATGATTCTCTTGAGCCTGTGGAATGTATTCCTAGAGAACAATCAGGACAGAATCGAATCACAAAGGCGCTATGGCTTTGCAAAATTGGCTGCAACAGCTGCATTATTCCCCATCCGCGCCAGGCTAGTGCCTCACGTTGCGCTCTCTCGTCTCATACTCTCCTCTTCGCGCTCAGTCTCTCACTGCCGTGGCACATCCGCATTACGAAGATGAGCAAGCCCTAAACTTGAGCGTATTCGACGAATACTGTTCCCATTTTTCTTTACAACAGCCCCTATGCGCTCCAAACCTTCCATACTGTACACGACCTACATAAGTTTGATCCTGGAGCGTACCTTTACCTTTCCTTCTTCACTGCTGAAGAGCCTGGTGGAGGGGGGTAAGTAGTGAATGGCGCCGCTAGTGCAACCGTGCCTGTCTGGAGCCTCCAGCCTGAGGAAAAATCTCGAATGCGTCCCGCCTACTTTGCCTTCTCACCTCTCCTAATTTGCATAATTAGCACCCGGAATTGTACGGCGACGATAGATGGGGGGCTGAAGTTCAACCGCGACCTGCCAACTAATGTCCTTTAGGCTTAGAAAAGCCGGCAATCCAGGTGGAATATACATTTTGAGTGAAAGTGGAATGCGTGCGCATTCTCTAGAAGCAAACGGAACCCACCGCACCGCATGGCTGTCTATATCTCCTCTGCTTACTGCTATCAGCGAACGTTAAGAAAACTGGTATTTGCAAGGTCGTTCTCATGTCAATGGGGTTAACAATCAAGTTTTGTGTTTGCAAAATTTAATTTGACGGAGCAACATTATATTGAAGTGACACTCGCAGGAAATATATAATGTCTGGATAAATAACCGAGGGTGGGGGGCGGGGTGGCCAAAATGATAGCGCTATCTGTAACGTAATAACTAGTCCTCTTTTGTTATTTATGAATGTGTTTAGTTCCCAGTTCCTTGCTTGAAAGCATGCCTCAAAACAAAATTTTTGTGATTTTTGCAAAGGAGTGTGAAATATTGGTACGAAATGGGTCGGGAGTAAACAAGAAGGGAACAGAATCCGTCGAAAACGCTAAGGCTTCCTCATTCGCGAGGGCGGCTGTGCTAAGGCAAGAGAGACGGAGAGTGGACAGAAATCAAACGAGGTGGAGGGCGGAACGAGATGAGGACGCAAGGCAACTGCCTGCTGCGGAACAGCAGGAAAACTGAAACTGCTCAGCTGTTTTGTGCAAGGCTCTAGCGCTTTTTTCCGGGGCGATTATCACGCACGGAGTGCCACATCTAATGATTGTCGCTCTGACAAGGAGTCGTTAGGGGGGGTCAAGCGTTTCAGAACGGTCTCTTAGTACATTGGACACAGAATCATTACTAATGTTCCTGAACGACCGCCCTCCGAAAATACCAGTAAAGGATCCTTAAATCCTCGTGTGACAAAATTTGCATTTCAATAGCCAAAATTTCGAAATGGAGTTAGCAGAGTAAGTTGTACCTTATTCATGGATCAGGACGTTCAGTTACGCCTCAGAAATACTCGGATTCAAAAAATTGGGTGAAAAATATGTAACAGTACAGTGAGCCGTTGAGGGTCACAGCTTTTCAACCAGTTCTAGAGTGTCATAAAGTCTATTTAGGGTTACTGACGGTCCTAATCATGAATATGGTACTAATTATTCATGCTAACTCCATTTTGCGCGAATTTTGGAACGTCAACTCGAAATGCAAAAATTTGTCACCACGAGGAATCGAACTAGGGACCCCCTTTTCTGGTATTCAGAGGGCCGTTCAGGAAAAATTAACCATGGTTCTGTGGTTCCCGCATGTGCCCCTATATCATGCAAAAGACCGTTTTGAAAAAGCTTGGCACACCCTGAAAGACCTTCCTTGTAAGGGGGAGTCGGTCAGTAAAATCTGTGTTAAAAAAATAACTCCACGCATGCGGCAGCCAGCGTCAACTGGTGCGGCATTTTGTACAGACTTTGGCTTGAACATCCACGTCAGGAAGGGGAATAAGGCAGTTCCATAGAGGATAACTCTTGGGAAAATTGCAAGATTTGCTGCAATTACAACCAAAGGCTATTGCTTTCACAGAAAGTATTAAGCGCAGTGATTACAATGGCTGGAGAGCGTTATGGTTTCGATGACGTCACTGAATGTCATTTGCCGTTGTCAGGCTTCGCGAGTCCGTGGATTCTTCAGCGAATGAGCGTTTTGCTCGCCATCCGAGAGGAGCGATGCGCCGAAGAGTTCGCCGGCTCTCACGGCTGGAATGCACTGGTGCATGCTCGTATCCCTCAGATTGTTAGCGGTGTGCCAAACGCTAACGAATCCGCCGAACTCGTGAAGTCAAGACCGGCGCTAGTGGGTTGGACCGCTCAGCGCGCTAGTGGTCGGGACTAGGCTATAAACGCCTTTCCACCAATGACGTTCACTGGCGTCATCAAACCGCAACGCCCCTCTAGCCGTCGTAATCACTGCCTTTAATACTTTCAGTAGAGATAAGTGTCTTTGGTTGTAATTTATAGCAGGCCTTGGAATTCTTCTAACAAGTCAAATGATTGAAAATACGTTTCAGAAGAGTTACGAAGAACTGCAAGACTTTCTCCAGTTCAGTTTCGCAGTGAGTGGAAGTAGTTTCTTGAGAGCAGCGCCACTTACTGCAGACATGTTCCCAACGAAATGGTGGTAGGAAGAGAAAGGTTGATCCAGCTAGGACAAAAAATTGTTTGTGTGAAGAAAACCGTTCAGAAAGAAAAAGGGTGATTTGTTTTGGTCCTTTCTCAAGGAACCCACGATTTTGTGTCTCCCGGATAGGCTAGCT